AGGCTCGCAAAATTGCTGAAATTGAAATTTTTTACAGTATTTTATTAATATAATATCTAGTAACATAAAATTTCAATACCTTGTCATTGTTTTTATGTAAGTTAACGATATCAAGTAGAAATTTCCATCCGGTTCCTAGGGATTATTTTCCCTTAGGAATATCCGATTCACTTCATCAACGAGTTCTTAACTTCTGCGGGTTGAATAGGGTACAGGAGGAATGGTTGACGGATGAGAATGGCTCGGAGTGAAATGTTTTCAGGGTAACCGGCAGGAGCGAGAGGATCCACGAGGAAGAGCGCGAAAGCGACGAAAGGGGATGACAATTCGATTTTGCAACCCAGATAAAGAAAGCTTTCTTCCTCGTTACAGGCTACCTACGGGACCGAGCTCGTTCTCCTAAAATCGTGAGTAGCGAACGGGGTGGGACACGGGTGGAATTCTCGCTGCGAACGAGCCGATGCTCTCGCTGCAGTAACCTTTACACAATGAACGACGCCTAATCGAATTCCTCCGAGGAAAAATTCGTCCCCTTTGCTACGAGAATTCGTGGCGTCCGGGAAGAAGAAAAAGCAAAAAGTATTAAGTGATCGAAGATTGAAAATGGCTGATTATTACAGACTGACTCGTACTTGTGTACGCCGTACGAATCTAGAAGAAATACTATTTAAAATAAACAATTATTTATTGATTAAAAAAGACTTTCATAACGAACATCGAATTTCTATTTTTAAATAATACATTTTGTAAGTGAATAAACGGAGGCAGATTTGCTATATAGATCCGTTGGAGAATCGATTCCCCTCGGACAAAGTATTAGCCCGGGCCCCGGAAACTTGGTTCCGCGGTTCGCGAAATGTTTGGGAAATCAATTTTCGTTGGGCTATCATGTCTATCGGCCGTGGCTCTGGGACGACGTTAAAGGGGGTCGAAGAAGGGTCCGGAGGGATATCGAAGTGCCGATGGTGAGAGCCGACCGACCGATCGACCCAAAAACAAAGCCGTAACTCGATAGAGACGTCCTCGCGACATCGTGGAAACTCGATGTGACAGGCGACGCGAGGCCGGGCGAAGGAAACCGGCGCGTCGATCCTCCCTCCGGTTTCCGCTCGTCACCCCCGCGGTGAAACAGAGAGAACGCGACAGCGATGCCTCGAAAACCACCCCAACTGTCCAACTGTCCAAGTGGCCATTTTCGTCTTGGCTGCCGCTGCTCCCCATCGTGCCACCCGTCTCCCCCGTCGCGTCTCCCATCTTGAATAATATCACCGGCGCGGCAGATACCGGCGGGCACGTCTGCCGAGTCTTGACAAATACCACCAAGCGGCCCCCGTACCTTTCGAGTTTACCTTGCAGGAACGTGCCGCACATATTTTGATCGGAACGCGGAAGGGAGCCGCGTCCGAGAGAAGGCGATGGCCGCGGCTGTACATTCCTCGATCCGAAGATAGAAAATTATTCGGCCACCCACCCCGATGATGACCGCATACCGATTTCGTTAGGCTGCAGGGTGACGATCCTCGAAGGTTTCGGCCATGTCCGTAGAACGAGGCGAGCGAGGGAGGTTCAGAGTTCAAATCAAGATCGATGTGGAATGAGAATCATTTTACTGAACGTCGTAGATGATCTCGATTATCGAGAAACCAATATTGGGCTGAACTTCGTCTGGAAATCTTCATATTGGTCAAAATTTATTTTAATCATACTGCAATAAAAATACTGAGTTTAGGAATTCATTCGTTGAAATGTTGATTAGTAATAAAGAGTACGAAATTGTGACGTATTTTCTATTTAATTTGATTGATGATTGACTATTTGCTTATTATACCTGATTATACTTCCTGAATGAGTTTTGTTTAGGAGATATTTTAAAAAGAGCTATAATATTATGACATATACAAAACGAGACATTCAGTTTTGTACCCGGGCGTCGAGATGAAATTTTTATAACACCGAAGCGCAATTTTCATTCTCTCACGACAGTACCTTTTCCATGCCGCGGCGTATCTCGATTTCTTCATCGGAAAAGTGGCAAACGTCAATCCGCGTAGGCGAGAAATAGCTGGTAGCGTTTCATGGTTATCTGAATTGCAAATTTCATTTTCTTAATAGAGCTCGTGGATCGGGACGCGGAGTTCAACGTTCAAACGACTGGAACGACCACTCGGCTCCCGGTAAATTTACCAAATTAAGTTCAACTGCAACTGGACAGGTTCAGACAACAAACTAACTATTATGTTTCCTAATTCCTTTTTCAAGACAGTAGGTAATCTGTTTTATTCTTGATTTTTTAATTGTCCCTCTCATCTGATTGCAACAAACGATTTTAGACAATTTTTATACATTTGATTTTTTTTATTATTAGTCACGTTTAGAAATTTAATATTTTTTCTATAACATGTATTATACGGTCTTATTATCAACCATAGTCTTCAGTATATGTAATTTATTATGTATATATTATATTACAGTATATGTAATATATACGGTCTTATTATCAACCATAGTCTTCAGTATATGTAATATATTATACAGAATTATCATTATTTTGATCGTGGACAATGAGGGTCCTACACGTACTCTTATTGGTCAGTGTTTTTCATTAATAATTAAAAAACCATGTTTCATTTTACATTTTGACAAAGGGAATTGTTCTGATATTCAGTTCACTGTTCTATTAATATAATATCTAGTAACTGTTAAAATTTCAATGCTTTGTCATTATTTTTCTCTAAGGGTTCATGTCACCGGGAGCATTTCATTTAAATGCGATATTTGTTACTCTCAAACAATTTGTGCTCGTCTCCTTCAACTATACACAAGGTTTAAGCCGAGGGACGTTCTCCTTAAGCCGCGATACATGCCCGAGTAACACTAATTATTTCGCAATCTCGGCACTCACCTCATTTCCCAGATAATGTTGCATTAAGAAAATTAATTTTTTACCGTACGCCCTAAAAGGGGCAGTTCTAGGCCGCGTTCTTGGAGAGATTCGAGATGCTGCTCGCAGCAATCGGATATAAACTGGAGATTATACCATTAACGAAATTAATAAATGAAAATGAGTAGACGCTCCATTAGCGAGATGAATTCGTCGCGAAGGATACGTCGTTAGTATGCTCGTACCTAAGCGGCGTTCAAACACAGTTTTACAGGGAACCGTGTTTCCGAACTGTACACATAGAAGTTTGAATGGTCACAATTTCATTTCGAGCGATTAACGTATTATATGAATAAGAATTGAAATAATAGCTGCGACCCTTTGCATGCATTTTGTAATACTGCAATTACATCGAAGTATTTTATAAAGAGTTGATTGAACTTGACCCCATGCGACCCTTCATCTGAAATACTAGCGAGGTAGAAAAATGTGTCACCGTAGAAGTGCAAACGCCAGCTCATGTAGCGAGCTCGGCTTGTCGAGGCCAAGGTCCCCGGTGGCGCATTTTATTACGCGCAAGTGGTAATCAAGCGGCTCGTAAAAGGTCAGAAAACGAGTTAATTAATTTGGAACAACAGCGGACAGATGTTCGCGCTAGGGTCGCCGCCGTAAGTTTCGGCTTAATTTCGGCCGGATTTCCAAGACCCTC